ACAAGTACCACTCACCATCACCATCTCCCACCTCCCACTATCTTCACCACGGTCATCCATCTCCCATAACTCCCAAATAAATGGCAAATGTCATATTAATCCATCGAACTTGTCGTCAACTTTTTTTGTACATTAAGGGAATGAACTCTTGTTTAACCTGTTAAAAAGGTCACGTAACCCACTATAACATATTTTAATATCATTGTATCCTCATATCATCCAACCTTCTCTCTACAGTTATGCGTGTCCTCTATTGCAGGTTACAAAATAGAAGACAAGGGAATGAACTCTCGTTAAAGGTTTGTCTCGTGAATCTGGGGTGTGAAATCACAAACTATTTTACATTTGGAAATCTTGAATCTAGACGGCAAGAATGTAGGTTGTCACCTCCATTATATTTGAGTTATACATATAAGTGAAACCATGGACTATCTTTGGTGGGGAATCCAAAAATCAAAACCAAGAAAAATCAACCCAGAGAAACTAAGAAAAATGCCCTTTTGAAATCATGAAGCTTGCATACGATTCCAAATAAAACCCAAGAAAACATAGAATTTGATGCTCTAATTATGTTTAGAGCAATTTCAGGAGCCATTTCCCCCTATTATTGACCAAATATCATACCCAAAAAAAAAAAAAAAAAAAAAAAAAGAATAACTTCATAAATTTCAACGAAAATAATGACCATCAACACAATAAAATCAACAGGAGCTTTTAACCAGAAATTGATGAACAAATGAATAGAGTGTAACAAGAACCCGCCAAACAACTAAAATCCCCAAAAGAATCGAACTCAAAACACATAACAGGTGGGTGAACCCTTAATGTACAATTTTTTTGTACATCAAGAAATTGAACAGAGCGAAGTGATGAAGCTTTTGGACCATGAATCAGAGCTTGGAACCCTAAGTAGTGGAGGGTAAGAACTACTGGAGCGATAGCGGCAATTCATATGTCGATGCTTAGGGTTTCCGATATCAAAGGTGGGACCCTGAAATGATTCAACCATGTTACACGATTCTTGCTTTGGTTCTTCCCGAAGGTCAAGTTCGATCTTGGACTGGTCCAGAGCTAGAGATAGTCAAAGTAGTGGCTGACCAGGTGGTGGTGGCTCTTTCCCATGCGGTGGTGCTTGAAGAATCTCAACTCATGAGAGAAAAATTAGCAAAACAAAATCGAGCTTTACAACAAGCTAAACATGATGCCATGAGAGCTAGTCATGCAAGGAGCTTGTTTCAAAATTGTAATGATTAAAAGTTTGAGAAGACCTATGCATTCAATCGTGGGTTTGCTTTCGCTCATTTTCCTATAAGCATCGACACATATTTTACAGGTTTACCAGGTATCAAGTCACATAAGAATATCTTAAAACAGGAAAATGAGAGTTCATTCCCTTAATGTACAAAAAAAAAAGTTGTGTGACTTTTTAAAACAAACACGACGAGTTTGATGGGCTAATATGAAATTTTCCCCCAAATAAAACCAGAATATGAAGGTGTTTTCAAGTGAAGATCCAACTCAAGTTCTTTGATAGATTTTTATAATGCTTTTCTTATTAAACCCCAACACATTCAGGTTTTTTGATAGATTTTTCAAATGTATTTCTTATTAAAACCTGATACGTAAACATCAACCTATAAATATGTTTTTAAGTAAAGCTCAAGATCAAGTTCTTCAATTGATTTAAAAAAGTGCAAATACATCAACCTATAAGTGTGTTTCCCACTAATGGTTTTTTATTCTTCCCTTAGTTTTCCTTTTAAAGCTTTTTTCTTCTTTCTGTCATGTGAAATAAAGAACAAGGGTTTAGCATCCAGGAAGATAATCTCATTCATAAAAATGCTATAAGATCTAGTTTTACTAGAGTGGGTGGTTCAATCTATAACGAGGATGAAATTTGAAATCCATACAAAGAAACCACATTCATGACACTAACAAAGATGAAGATGAAACAACATGTATGCACTCAGAAATGAAGCAATAGAGGTAACAACTCTAGATCTTTTCGTTACTGAAGAATCTCAATCTTAAATCGATAAACACATAGCATGCCTATATCTTGCATCATTCGAAGAACACATATGAAGATGATGAATATTTGAGAACACATATGATGATTTGGAAAATAAAGAACACTAAACCATGACTAGATCTCAAATCGGCTGGAGCGTATTTAAGGGGTGTTTGGGATTACTTTTCAAAAAAAAATTATTGACTAATTGGTTTTAAGAATCCAATAAGTAAAAAAAAAGTATTTGGAAATCTTAAAAATGTTTTTCAATATACTTCAAAACTAAGATTTCCAAAAGTATCTTTTACAACTGTTTTTGGCTTTTTAACCAAATGTGTTTAACTTATTGATTTAGTAGTTTTTTCCACCACAAAAACAAATCCAAATTTTATAATAATATAAAAAAAATAAATAAAATAAATAAATAAATAATAAAAAAAAAATTTTAAAAAAAAGTCATTTTGCAAATACCATAAGTCATTGAACACTTTTGCCTAAAAATACTTTTGAAGTTCAAAAAGCAATCTCAAATAGCCCCTTAAACCTAGAAAACAAACAACTTCATATGATAGAAAATAATAGATAACAAGCAAAGGGGTTTTCTGATCTCGCATCATTCACGAGTTTAAATGAATGAGTTATCAAGTCTTAAAAAAATGAAATAAAAAATAAAGAACATGTTTTGTAAAACTAAAAAAATGAATAATCTAGAAATATAATTATTAATACATTTAACAATATAAAGGTACGCCATTACGTCCACGTGATCGCAACTGCTTAACCAATAAGATATAACTCATTCTTTTTTTTAAATAAGTGAAATGAAATTTTAGAGATCCATAAAACTTTAAAAATAAATAAATAAATAAATAATTTTATGAAAAAATAGGACAAAAGTGAAAGCTCATATGTCCATAGTAATATAAACCCTTACTTTTAGAAAAAAAAATTATAAATTTAGCCAAATACACTAATTACTTTGTAGAAAATAGCTAAAAAAATCAAAATTGCATTTTTAGCCACTAAAATCGCAGATGGGTATAATCCATCTGCGATTTCATCATGACATCTGCGAACGTACAAGTAGCTAAAGAACAAACGTGCTTTAGCCACTTGTACGTTTGTAGTTGGTTTTTTTTCGTTGTATATATACTCCTTTTTCAGCCTAAAAAGCGCAGATTGACATAGTTCATCTGTGATTTCCTCTTCTTTTGAATTACATATTGTGATTTTTTTTTTTTTTTGCTTTTTTTTAATTATTAGTTTGATTATGAAATTGATAGGTTTGATTATAAAACAACCTTATTATATATAAATTTTTTCAATAAATTTTCATTTTTGTTGTTATTTTTTTGGAAAATTCGTTTAAAAAGGAAATCGTTCATAATAGCTCTAAGGAAATCGTAGAAAGAGTTTCTTCAAAAAATAGAGTGAAAAATGAAGAAAAAAAAACGTTTTTATACTATGAACTTCACAAAATCACTGATGGAAGGGCAAAATCGCAGCTGAGTTTAGTTCATCTGTGATTTTAAGGGTTATTTTTGTAATTTGAGTTTCTTTTTGCTATTTTCCACAATGTAATTAATGTATTTTGTTAAATTTGTAATTTTCTCTTAATTTTATGGTTGATATCTTTATTGAAAATCAAGATGTTACATTTAAGATCGTTTCTTGAAATCTTGCTTTTGATTAATAATGTTGGTATGGTGTGTATGTAGAAATCAATATAGTTCATTGTGTGTACATCTTATTTGTTTGTTTACAAACATCTATAAACAATGTGGTTTAGAGTTTAAAAAAACAAACAACTTTTTTATTGACTACCAATTTTTTTTTATTGACTACCGATTTTTGAAATACAAACGACGCCTAACTTATATGAAAATCATTGATTAGTTGCCTCCTTTGTGAAACGATGGCGAACAACTACTACATAAATACATAAAATTCCAACCGCAGTTATACAAATTTTGTATCAGATAAATATCATATTGTGTGAAGAGCAAATGATTTGCGTACTAGTGTCCTTCCTCTAAACATTATATGACCAATCAAAAGTAGTCAAAAGGGTCTCAAATGGATCGGTTTACTAACAAGAGAAAATAGATAATAACTCAAATAACATTTTTAAAAAGCAAATCAAACTACATTATATTTCAAGGTGTTTGGCACGAGTTGGATCGAACATACGACCCAAACATTTATTTTCCAATTTATTACAAAACATATACACAAACATAAATTACTTGAAGTTACAAAAATACATTGAACTACGAGCATATACAAATATCGCTATTATTTTTTATAAATCTACTCAACTCAAACATGTAGCTTTCAAACAAAGAACGATCTTGGACATAACCTTATTGTTCAAAACCACTCATTAAAGTTTCGAGGTTTCTCTTTTAACATTTGTACGAATAATAAATTTGCCAAAAAGAATAAACCACGAGAAAATATCAACATCTAGTTCGACCATTCCTCATTTGACTCGGTACTCACGTTAAATTTTGAATAGCTAAAAGTCCGTACTATATTAACCATACAGTTGTAACCAAGTTAAAATTAAAAATTATAAAAAAAAAGATTAAAAAAATACTGTGGAATCATTTCTGGATTGCAGTTTTACCTAAACCCTCGTCGATATGAATTTTCCACACACACATATAGATCGAGGTATGTTGCTTCGTCTTCTACATTATTGATCGATTATACGTTTCTCTAATTCAGCAAACTTATTTACTGATTTGTTAATTTTAATTGCATTTCCTTTTCTTCTATTATATTTTGATATATGTTAATTTTAGATTCATTTCCTTTTCTTCTATTATATTCAGATTTGCATGCTATCGGAATGATGTTTTGGAGAATTCTTTTCATGAAATTAGGTTGTCCTACCTTAACATTTCATATTTATTAGTGAATTTAATAAAACCAACATAATGGAAATTTCAACAATAACATCAATAATGATTTACACTCCATCTATTTATAAAATCCTAAAAAAAAAAAAACAACAAAAGGTAAAAAGATTCACGTTTCACATAAAAAGTAGAAAAGCAATTCACATTTAACAAAAGAAACAAACTAAACCCTTTTTTTTACCTTGGTTTTGCACCACCATTTTCTTCAACAGTATTGACCGGAGTTGACGCCCCACTCTTTTTAGAGCTACCAGTTCCAGTAATAGTCCGGCCCATAAACTTCCCAGCCTTACTGAGCCCACTACCAACCGCCCCAAGCCCACTTCCAACAAGCCCAACCCCAGCCCCAACTCCACCACCCACAAACCCAACCCCGGACCCCACCAACCCCGCAGCTCCATCAATCGCATCCATTGTACTTCCGATTATACCCTCGGCTTTAAGTCTCTTTTTCTCTTCAAGTATCCTCTTCTCTTCTTCCATAGCAACATCTTGTTCTTCTTTTGTAAACTCATGGTACTTCACCTGTATTCAAAATTATTACTAAATTATATACGTGTTGACTATTCGACTGTTTGACTATTTGACTGTTTGACTATTTACCTTGACTGTGAGAGTTCCTCTATCTTTCTTATCTTTGATCTTGAGCATATCAAGTGAAGGTTGAAGCTTCAATTCAATTTCATTTTCGATTTCTGGTTGAATGCCAATTAGAGATAATTTTGCAATTCCCAATCGCTTATCTTGCCCAATATCTTCATCCAGAACCTGTTTGGAATTGGATTACATCATTTTTTATTATAAAAATTAAAAAATAAAAAAGATAAAAAAAAGATTTTGTTATATAACCTCGAGAATAGCGGATTGGGTTTCCTTGTCTTCTACAATCAACTGAAGTACATGATTCCAAACAGGGTTCAAGTTGTTGTCAACAGCTTTTGTTTTGAATTTTTCAAGTGGACGAATAAAAGCAGTGACATAAGGATCAGATTTTCCAATCATTTCCATATTTTTTAAATTTGTTGCCTTCACAATTGTTAATGTCAGTTGCCCTTGTGGCTTCAGCTCCAGATCACTGCATAACAATATTCAAAGTTCAAACACCAAATCAAAATCATACATATCATGGAATGGAATCACGAATTCCGATTCCAATGTTACCTTGTATCCACACCTACACCACCAATGGGAACAACGATCCTGTGGGGCCATTGAAGCATATCTGAAACTATTGTATTTACAGTGTCCTACAAAAATCAAATAAAATGTTAACATTTTATAAAAATAGATAAATGATTAGTCAAAAAATGAAAAAGAAACTTACATCAATCATATCAGAAAGTCCAGGCATGGCAGTTAAACTTCCACCAATAGCCTTCAATGTATAATCAATTCTTGGCTTCGGCTGAAATTTTAATATAAAAAAATTTATTAGAAGAAAAAAAAAATCATTAATTCATGAGTTTATGAATTCATAAAATCATACCTCGGAAAGTAAAGCAACAACAACAGCAGAAATGCAAGGGATTTCCTCACAGAGTTGGAAAATGACACGAACAACTGTAAAAACTTGCAGATCTTTCAGCTGTAGAAGTAGAACACACATAATTAGATTCAAAAACATTATGAAAGAATTTGAATAATTAAATAAATTAGTAAATAAATATATACCTGAATAGGTAAATTAGCAACAAGTGCAGCTTCAACTCCTAAAACAATATTTGGATCACCACCCCAACGAAGATCAATGTCCATTGTTATTTGACCTTTTTTAAGGCTTTGAACACGGATACCTGCATTTTTTTTAAGTATTTATATAAACTTTGAAAAAAATTATAATTTTAAGTGATATATATAATGATACCTTCAATCTTTGGTGCTACAGTTCCAAGAGAGAGTTTATTGAACTTCAATGATGTAATTCCAGGTGGGCGATAATCTTCCAATAAAGGCTCAACAGAATCTTTGATTATTATTCGAGCTGCCTATAAATGTAGGAATTAAGAAAATTAGATATAGTCAACCTAAGAAGATAATACATATAGAAATTATAAATAATGAGTACTCGAGGTAACTTACTTCTTCAACATATGGCCAGAGTTTGCTCAATTGTTTATTCAGCCATTTCACCTGAAATACGAAGCTACAAAGATGAGACACGTTCACTAAAAATATATTTTTTTTAGTGGCTTCTGAAAAATCATGAAATGGGTTCTTTGGTGATGAAAAGCATATTAAGTTGCAGCTGATTGTGTAGATAGTGAAAGTGAAAGTGAAAGTACTAACCTGTTCATAAACAGGGAAAGATATCCATTCTGGAAAGTTGTCACCACAGATTTTCTTCAAATCATCTCTGTTGAGACATCCAAGGAGTTTTATGTCAACTGCCTGAGGAAAAAACAGTTTATCAAAGATCATGTTAACATAAATTTCAAGTTGTATATGGATCACCAAGAATTATGGAACCATAGAGCAACATGCTCTAGTAGTGCAGAAGCATACACTATTATCAGGTTTAGTTCAAGAAGCATGGAAACTCAGAAGCTATCAAATCACCATCTATGAACAGTGGAGCAATGAATAATGCTCTATCTTTATTTAAATCGGTTTACAATTTCCCCTTCTTTGAGATCCTAACACAAGCTAATAAAGTCAACAATGAAAAGAAACCCGTGAAAACCTGTTTCTTGTTCACAGTCTATGATCACTAGAACATCTAATTGCAGTCATACAGCTCTTGCTGATGGTAAATTAAGTTATAATTACAGATTACATTAAACCCTAACACCAACCAAATCACGAAAATCAGTAGTGAAAGTAAAACCCTAACAAATTGATTAATCAGAACCAGACGAAGATATCAAAGAACCCAAACAATCGATTTACCTTGGCAATTCGTTTACTGCTTCGATATCTCATCATCTGCCGCCAACCAGCCATAATCGCAATCCCAAATACAGTCCCCATCAGTATTCCAGAAATCAACCCCATTTTGTATCAGCTTCAACTCTCCCAAAACAGAACTACAATCAACAAAACATCCAACCAGCTACAGGTTCAAGTTTCAACTTGAGAGAGAGAGAGAGAGAGAGAGAGAGAGAGAGAGACGAGTGATTACCGTTTGCTATTGAAGGTAGATGAAATCTCCAGTATCTGGATGTAGTTTCTCTCTCTAAAAGTCGCAATCGGTTTCGTTGTTTGGGTCGCGTTGTTACCCCCACAACTAGTGAAGAGATTGCTTTTACAGATGAATAATAATAATGGGGGAAATGGGGTCGGTGTGTAATCCGATTGCTTGCTTGACTTGAAGAAACTGTGATGAATTTGAGAGAGAAAGAGAAAGAGAAAGAGAGAGGTGAATCAGTAAATGTAACGTTCAATTCTTGCCTTGGTCTATCCGTTACTTGTTTAGCTACCCCCGGCCCCAACTAAATTCTCGATTAGAAGATATTTTCTATTTTTATCCTCTTATATAATTTTGTTATTTTTTTATTTGTATCATTATCAAAAGAGGTATCTTTATATTTTGGAATAAAGCCTTTAAAAAATCTGATAATTAATTTTTTGATTTAATAGAACACACTTAAAAGTAGAATAATTTTCAATTAATGTAGTTTTTTGTGTAAAGATTAATGATATATAGATTTTCTTTTATATAATTTGAAATAAATATATAATATTGTGTAAAGATATAATGATATATAGGTTTTCAACGTTTATTTAACATAATTCATTAAGTTTATAAAATGTTTTATTATTATAAACTCATAATACTTCTCCATATAGCAATATACAAATATCATTTATATAACTAGTATCACATACGAATGATTTTTTATTTATTTACGATTCTCCTTGTGGTGAATTTAATTTGTTTGATGGTGTTAGACCATCTTTGTGTGAGGGTTGATTCTCATACACCATTACTATACAAATAATTTGAAATATATTTTTATCCTTAAGTTAATGGTTTAATTTCTTAAAATTCAAAGTTAACCAAAGAATAGGTATTACCTTTTACTAAAAAAGAAAACCTTAAATCTTTATCATTAGTTAAGTACTTCAAATATTTTATTGGGGTGTGCATAAAAATACCATATGAATCTAATTAATAATCAACCACTTCATAAAATTGATGTATCAATTGTGAAAATTTGAGAGAACACTTGGAACCCAACCAATGCCAACATATAACTCAATCACTTGAAAATAATCAGCTACAACAACTACCTTTCTATCCCCAACTGTAAGACTCAACTCAACGAAAACTACTAAAATCGGAAAACTCTCAAAACTGTAACTACTAACCGACTCAATTAGTATAATTCACAAGACCGGGTACCCATCAGTCTAAACTCTACAAAGCCATATGTAAAGGCTGATAATCATCCATTTGTTATATCTACCCCTAATCCCTGGCTAGGAACACCATCAACCATGTAGAAAGAACACTCAAACATCCCGATCGTGAATTTCCATTAATCCCAAATTAGCAAATTAAGCCCAAAAGATGTCAAATGTCCACTTAACTTACTTACAAGTCATCACTAACCCACCACTTCCACGAGCGTAATAATGATCAATCCAAAAATCTCACAGGGAATCTAAACTCCCACACTAAAACCGGTGCACATCTATCTGACAAATCATCCAAAAGACCGACAACGAACTTCATCATTGGTGACTTAACTCATACAGTACAATCCTCATAAAAACAAGGTTCGCTAAGAAAACCCAAACAAGGAACAATCGATATACAACCATGACCTTTCCAACAAATCAACATTCTACAAAAGCATTATCAAAACCTACCGACCACTATGCCATTAACAACAATACCATACCGCTCATACACCTAACTATGCCAAAACGACTAACAAACAAAATATACAAGTCTCCACTACACAACTATCAGTTCTAACTTACATAAGGAAAATCCATGATGGTTCACGATACGTTGTGACACCATCCAACTATTGGAACGAGATGCTCATAGTTCTATGTCGTTCTTGCCAGCATCCCACCACAGGCATGAGGACTCACGAACAGCACCTCATTAGGCCTATAGGCATACGACCATCTTCTTACGGACTTGCAGGAACCCAATCAACATCTCACTCGACACTTACAAAACACAACACGAGCCATATGGTTCCCTAACACACCCTTCCACAATCCAAGCTAAGACATCCCCAAATTTATGGTCATTTAAAACTTTTTATTTATGCTTATTTTAAATCAGAGTGATATTTATAAATGGGGAATTTGTCGCATTAAAAGTAGTTTCGAGAAAATGTTTTTCAATGATTATTAAAACTTGAGATGTCATAACTGATACAGAAACATAAGTATAAATAGACCTTACATCAATATTCTAGCAGTTTACGAACTCCTTAAATCTTGCAGCAGATAATTCCATTATCTATTAGTGCCTTCGTATTACTATCCGTGATACAAAGAATTTGAATGGGTCATGTTGGAAAACCTAGTGAGCACATTGGGTTTTCAACCCACAATATTATATCCTTAAATCTTGCAGCAGATAATTCCATTATCTATTAGTGCCTTCGTATTACTATCCGTGATACAAAGAATTTGAATGGGTCATGTTGGAAAACCTAGTGAGCACATTGGGTTTTCAACCCACAATATTATATTCTTATAATTATATAATCTTTAGAATTTAAATATCCTAGTCATCCTATTCCCGTTATTCTTTCTATAACAACCCAAAATTTTCAACAAATCTAAACCTTTCAAAAGTGACCCATTTATTAATAAAAGTGTTTACAAACTATTATTTCCAAAACATTAATTAAAATCATAGTCTCCCAAGATCCAATCAGTTGTAAAACCAAATATGTGTACGATCACGCCTTCGTCTTGCCACTTTCCACTAAGGTACCTGAAACCATAAATCAAACTGTAAGCACGAAGCTTAGTGTGTTCCCCCAAAATACCACCAAACAAGCAGATAACCTAGTAAACAACAACATGCATACAGGGCCTTCAGCCTGACTGGAACTCCCTACCGGCCTACAGTATATCTGGTATAACACCAAACAAGCAGATAACCTAGTAAACAACAACATGCATACAGGGCCTTCAGCCTGACTGGAACTCCCCATCGGCCTACAGTCTATCTGGTACGCTCATAGAGCCTTCAGCCTAGCTGGAAGGCCCCCACCGGCCTACAGTCTATCTAGTATGCTCACAGAACCTTTAACATGATTGGTACGCCTCATCTGGCGTTCAACATATCTGGTATGCTCACAGAGCCTTCATCCTGAATGGAACGCCCCACCGGCCTACAGTCTATCTGGTACGCTCACAGAACCTTCAGCATAACTGGTATGCCTCACCAGGCCTTCAGCCTATCCAGAACGTTCTCTAGGCCTTCGACTTGACTGGTACGCCCCTCGGGCCTGTAGTCTATCTGGGACCCCCTGGTTCCCTTGACCTTCAGTCCCATCTAGTCCTCCTCAACCCAATAACCAAACACATATCCATGCATACCATAACATAACAACATATAGATATAAACATTATCGGGTTTGTTGACTAACAACACAAAGCAGTACAATATCAACCCAACTACACTACGTCAACATATGCAACAGATAAACGTATAACCAGTTAACAGAAAATCATGCAGATCTTACAGATCACTAAGCATATCATCATCCTATATACCTGGATACAGATCTAACATATCACTACAACATACCAACATGCAATAAACCAGGATAACAATCCAATGTGGCGGCCTTGGTTCCTTCGACCCAAAAGTACAGTGAGAGAAAACTTACCTCGCAAACCGGACAAAAGTTGATGAGGTCCTGACTCCGAATCCCATCTCTCAAACTAACACCTACTCCAACCAAAAGACCAAACATAATATGTCACACCCCCAAACCAGAACGGCGGAAACATTCGGGGGTGGATCGCATCATATGTAGTATCACAACCATTGCATCATAGTAATGATAGTAAACACAACCATTACATTGAATATATATATATATGTGTGTGTGTGTGTGTGTGAAAAGGTATTTACATCTATTTGTATTCTTGTTCCTAAACATCAAAAGAAAAAGATGTGACTCTATACACTCCATCTTCTCAAAACTCCAGAAGGTACCTATCTGCTGATTTCCTGAGAATACAAGCAGTTTTGAAAGAGTATCAGCATAAAGCTAGTGAGTTCATAAGCATGTTTTTGAGAAGAAAATCGGTTAATGAATCGATAAATGTATTTGTATGCTTCCAAGAAAATCCATTATTTTATATCATATGTATTCTGTTACTGAATCTCAATGAATGTATTGTGCATTGTTTGATCGAATAAGAACCTCTTTTTACAAGAAAAACTCTGATTATCACCAGTTTGTATAGTAGGTTCAGAAAGCTCTGAAAACTGTAATATGTATAGTAGTTTTATTACTTTATAATAAAACTAATTAAGGTTATCTTTTTTCATGCATTAATCGTATTTTCTTAGTACTAAGTTTTATGAGTTGTTATAACCATACTTGACCATTGAATTGCCTAAACGACATTCTTCAGGCGTCGGAATCAAAATGACTTTGTCACCCAAGCCTGTCGGCCTAACTGTAGCTAGCAGTTATGGTGTGAGATTGTCAATCTCGTATAGATCTATACACAAACTCACGTTTCCCCTCCAGGAGACTCTGGTTATAATTTCAGGACTTTTGCTAGTACTTAGGTAAGTATGCGAAGAATGCTCACTCATAAAATGCTATACTGACGATTAGATGTATAGTAAAATGAATCCATTGAATTTAACTTATTGTCCATATGTTCATAAACTACACATTTACTAGTTTATGTGTCTGTTGAAATGAATCTATAAATTTTACAATGATATGATAATTGTTCCATAAACTATACCTATTATAGTTTATATGTTCATACATGTGTTTGAATCATGTTTTACATTGACAGTTCTGTGTTTATGATGAAAACCTCCCTTATGCTCAGCATAGTACAAAAGGGATAAAGTATTTATAAAAGTATGAAAATTGTATGATTATATCAATTGCATCCGTGTAAAGCTTAATGAAATTCCTTTTTGTATAAGCTTCACAAAATCATGTATGTTTGGCTTGTATTCCCCCTAAAAACATTTAAAAATCATGAAAGCGTAGAGATATGAACTCACCGTTTGATGTGTGATTCGAATGTAAGATCGATATAGGATGCTGAGTGTCAAACGAAGTATCGAATACAAACGGATCCTATTAGCATATTATATATATATATATATATATATATATATATATATATATATATATATATATCAAATTAGGGTATATCACAACTAGTTATGATAGGAAACCACCCTAGGGACTAGGAAACACCTGAAACTAAGTGTTAGAATCATGTGTGATTGAATGAGGGAGGTGTACGGCCA